TTATCATCCTTGTGGGAGGCTTCTCTCATGTCCCCGCTTGGGGAGATGGAGCTGACAGAGGGAGCTCATCCGCCTCTCCCCGGATTTGAACCTGCGACCTGTCGATCTTCAGTCCTGCCGGCACAGGGGTTTAATCCACTGCGCCACCGGGGGCTTCCATCCTCTTGGTGACATATGCTGACACAGCCCTTAGTTAGCTCAACATACAGTGAGCCTGTCATTTCCATGGCCCCAGGATCCACAGATTCAACCAACCATGGATTCAAACCAGAGACAGTGGCAGAAAACTGGCTGCCAAGTGAGCACTCTTCAGGTTCACTCTCACTCTCCAAGGAGCCCTCCAGCTACCTGCTTCTGCCTTCCAAATTAACAAGCAAAAGTGTCGCCCTGAATGTACAAGAGGGTGGCCTGAAGAATATGTGCTTGGTAGCAAAAGCTTACTGTCACATCTGCTGCTGCTGTACACCATTTATTAAAAGGGACACCTGTGTCTGTATTTTTTTGCTTTCTGCTCTAGATTCCAGAACCAAGTCTCAATGGATAAGTGGAGCCTACAGTAAGGAAAATTATACTGGAGGGAAAGGAAGGAAAAAGGAAGAGGGGCCGACCAAGGGCAAGATGGATGGATGGTATCCTTGAAGTGACTGGATTGACCTTGAAGGAGCTGGGGGTGGTGATGACCGACAGGGAGCTCTGGCGTGGACTAGTCCATGAAGTCACGAAGAGTCGGAAATGACTGAACGAATGAACAACAACAACAACAACAACAACAGTAAGGATTTTCTGGGATATTGTGGAAGGAAGCAGGCTTTGGCTCCTTTGGCATCATCTCCACTCCAGTTGCTTTGGGAGCTCCTTCTTTCCCAAATGTACAATACCATTTGGAATATGCCTAGGTGCACTTCCACAGCCAATCAGTGACTAGGATGAGTGGGGTTGCCCTTGCAAATTTCCTGACTGTTGTTGCACACCTGGAAAGGGAGTGGGGAATTAAAATGGGTTACTTTCTCCCTCCAATTGATGCCCAACAGACCTGGAGGACACGAGGCTGTGCCACATCTTAACTTGCTTCAGAACTCTCCTGTCCCAACCTTCAAATGTATTTTACCTAAATATATTTTATGATCATAAATGATAAATGATAACATGGGGCTGATGGGATGTTTGTATTAACAAGAAATTTAAAAAGTGCAAATTTATCTAGGCATGTTGTAGTCAGTGGGGCTTACTCCCAAAGATATGTATATGGCTACAGTTGAAGCCAAGCAGAATATAATCACCCATAAAAAAGTGCTTGGTGCCTGGTTAAACTGCTGAGCTGCTGAACTTGCTGACCGAAAGGTTGGTGGTTCAAATCTGGAGAGCAGGGTGAGCTCCTGCTGTTAGGCCCAGCTTCTGCTAACCTAGCAGTTCGAAAACATGCAAATCTGAGCAAATCAATAGGTACCGCTCGGGTGGAAAGGTAATGGCACTCCATGCAGTCATGCTGGCTACATAACCTTGAGGTGTCTACGAACAATGCCGGCTCTTCGGCTTAGAAATGGAGATGTGCACCACTCCCAGTATCGGAGACGACTAGACTTAATGTTAGAGGGAACCTTTACCTTTACTAAAAATATTAAGCAGCCAAAAGAAAAATATGACCAATTCCTTCTCAGGTCAGTTGTTTCTATGTAGCTTCAAGTCAAGTGCAGCTCATAAGGCAACACGATCACTATAATTCAGAAGGGGAAAGTCAGGGAATTAAACTGTTTTCCTTTCTCTTGTCACAATAGGATTACACATCTTACTGCATGAAGACAAGCCAAGAGCTGTCTGGCTTCCATGCGCTGGGTGACACCAAGCCTAGTGATGCCACTAAGTGCATCTGTATACTCTGTTGGCACGCTTATTGGATTTTGGCCAGTATCTTATAGCACACATTATAAATGCCTCTTAAAATACAAATTAAACGTTTTATAGTTTAGTAACAACAATTAAAACCATTGTAAAACCCTTCCACTAGAAAAACATAACCAGTAAAATAACATAAATGTGATAACATGTGGTTATGACCCTGGGCTATAAAGGGGATGAAGGTTGCTTACAGAAAGGTCTTTGGGTGCCTCACTGTAGAATTAATTCAGTTTGATAGTACCACTGTAATTGCCATTGCTAAATGTTGTAGAATCATGAGAGTTATGTGTAGTTTGTCAAGGTTACCAGCACTCTCTGATAGAGAAAGCTAAAGACCTTGTAAAACTATAACTCCCATGATTACATACTATTGAATCGCGGCAGTGAAAGTGGTGTCAAGCTGCATTCATTCTGCACTGAAGGTGCATCCTTTTCCTCATGCAAAAGGGCAAGAGGGACAGGCTAATCTAACCTCTCATAATTTGAAAGCAGCCACAGAAAGGTTTTCTTTTTCATGTCTGCATCAGATATATTTCTGAAGGTGTGAAACAAAGAAAAAGGCATCTTCTTGAGACTACAAAGCCTAGGCAGACTTCCAGGACAAAATAATAGTCTTTCAACTAGCCTGGGCCCAAATTGCAGAAAATTCACTGAAGAAAAGGCTTAAGAATGTGTGTGTGCGTGTGCATATGTCTCCTCAACTCCATATTACACACATACATACACACAACTCAGTGTTTTCCAGGTTGACATTGATGATTTAAGCATATGATGGAAATGAAACAAGAGTTCTCCTCATTATTTATATCTTTATTTATTTGCTTACTATTTTTATATCCCTCCCTTCTCGACCCCAAAGGGGACTCAAGGCAGCTTATAGCAGAGGCAAAGTTCAATGCCTGAAACAATTCAGTTCTGACCCAGCTCCTCTACGTCCCGCCTTGCAGTTTAAGATCATCTGGGGAGACCTGCTCTCGCTCCCGCCAGCATCGCAAATACGGCTGGTGGGGAAGAGAGACAGGGCCTTCTCGGATGTGGCCCCCTGCCTATGGAACTCGCTTCCCACAGAGGTAAGACTGGCTTCATTACTCCTGTCTTTGAGGAATAAATTGAAGTTGTGGTTCTGGCCCCAGGCTTTTGGACAGCAGGCATAAATAGCACTTTGGATATGGAATTCGACTGGAATGATGATATGGCTGTTAATTACTGTTTGTATTGTTTTTAATAAATGTTCTATTTATTGTTTTAGTTGTTATTATATTGCTTGTTATATGTAGTGGCATTGAATTGCTGCCAAATGTAAGCCGTCCTGAGTCCCCCTTCGGGGGTTGAGAAGGAACGGGGTAGAAATACTGGAAATAAATAAAATAAATAAAAATTCAACAATTAAATAACATTTAGTTAAAAATCTAAGCGAGGTTAAAAGCAATTAAAACATAAACAATACCACTTACAGCTATAAAATCACATTGTCCACAATCAAAGTCGGGCCATTCCAATGATGACACAAGCAAGCCTTAAGATTTGTTTTATGCCAAGTTCCATACAAATTGAACTCAAACAATCAATGTTTTGAAGAGTTGTTGTTGTTGTTTTTATTGCTATAATTGTTTCCTAGTTAGCCCGTTAGATTATAATCTGGAACCACATAAATTTCTTTGGGAGGTAATCACAACAGTTGTCAGATCAGATTCCAAACATTATTATGGTATGTGCTTTAAACAGACAGAATAACTTTAGACTGTAACACAAATATCTATATATCTTTCTCAGAAAACAGAGAAGAAATATCTACAATAATACCACAAATAATATATGTAGTAATCATCATGTTATTGAAAGCAACACTTGTAAAACTAAATAATAATAATAATAATAATAATAATAATAATAATAATAAATAATAATAAACAATAAACATTGACAAAATTACGATCTGTCAACTGCAAAAGGCCACCTTACTTGGATCTGCACGCATCATTCAAAAATACATCACACAGTCCTAGACGCTTGGGAAGTGTTCGACTTGTGATTTTGTGATATGAAATCCAGCATATAGATCTCGTTTGCTGTGTTTTTGTGTCAGTAAAATAATAATAATAATAATAATAATAATAATAATAATAATAATAATACATTAAAATATGCATCGCAGCTTGCTTGAGGGCCCTTTACACTACAGAATCACAGCACTATGACTCTACTTTAACTGACATAACAGTTCCCTACAGAATCCTGGGATTTGTAGTTTGGAGAGACATTTAGGGGAGCTCTCTGGCTGAGAATTTTAAGTGCTCTGAATGGCCAGTCCCAGAATCCAATAGGATGGAACAATGGGTGCACCTACATTGTAGAATTAATACAGTTTGATGCCAACTTTGACTGCCGCAGCTCAATGCAGTGGAATCCTGGGAGCTGAAGTTTGGCAAGGTCTTTAGTCTCCTCTGCCAAAGAGTGCTGATACCTCACCAGACTACAACTCCCAGGATTCCATGGCAGTGATCAATTGAATAATGGGATCATAGCACTATAATTCTGTAATAGGAGCCCCCAGTGGCGCAATGGGTTAAACCCTTGTGCCAGCAAGACTGAAGACTGACAGGTCGCAGGTTTGAATCTGGGGAGAGCGCAGAAGAGCTCCTTCTGTCAGCTCTAGCTCCCCATGCGGGAACATGAGACAAGACTCCCACAAGGATGGTTAAACATCAAAACATCCGGGCATCCCCTGGGCAACGTCCTTGCAGATGGCCAATTCTCTCACACCAGAAGCGACTTGCAGTTTCTCAAGTCGCTCCTGACACGAAAAAAATATCTGTAGTATGAATGGTCCCTGAGTTTCAAACCAGACCAGATGTACTATGAAAAGTTACCAGCAAATATCATGATTTCAGATGGTTCAGACATGTGAACCAATCCATCCTATCCATCACTGGTCCATCTGTCTTGAGAAGATTTTCTTTCTGTATACAATTTCTTTGTCCCAGTCTAGTTCATCTGACTATTCCCTTTTAATCAACACAAACACATTGTTTTCCTGAGCTCTGAAGTCAATGTGATGCTTTTCCCCATTGGAGTGCTATTGATGAAAGAGGTTGCTGACTTACGAGGCAGTGCAGTCCTTGTTGTCCTGGTGTCTTCTCCTGGTGATGCCCCAATCCTCTGAGAATCTCAGGTGGCTTATGTATCCACCTCCCAGATCTTTCTGTCCTGCCCAGTATGAGGATTAGCCACTAAGGAAGGGATGGGAGGAGACATCTTTCAACTTTCACAATTATGGTTAAGACACTTTGTGCTCAGCCAGATTGGTACCTTGCGGATTTGTGTAGGTGAATAAACATTTAATTCCAGCTCAGTCATGACAGCCTGAGATTGCAACGGAATGCATTTCTACTTCTTAAAAGCACTATGTAAACTTCTTAACACTTGATTGACAGTCGTTTGGACAGGAAAACAAGAAATGCACAAGGTTGCTTTTTACTGTAGGAGTAAAAGGTTTTGCATTTCAAATGTGCCACAGTTCTCAAGCACTGTATAAACAGATGTGGGAAAATGAGGTTCAAGCCTCAGACTTGTCCAGTGAACCAAATATTGTTGTAACAATTAGCATCTGATAGGTTCAACATACTACAGATAGTTATAATGTGGGACAAGGCGTAGATACAATTACAGACTTGGATGGAATTAGCATAGAATCACAGAGTTGGAAGAGACCACCATAAAAAGGTGAAGTTAAAGGTTTCCCCTGACATTAAGTCTAGTTGTGTCTGACTCTGGGGCATGGTGCTCATTTCAATATCTTAGTCGAAGAGCCAGTGTTGTCCGTAGACACCTCCAAGGTCAGGTGGCCATCATGACTGCGTGGAGAGCCATTACCTTCCTGCCAAGGTGGTACCTATTGATCTACTCACATTTGCATGTTTTTTACCTGCACCAGTTTACCCCCCCTTTTTTTTTTTATTTTTTTTTTTTTTTTACTATTTTTTTTTGTTTACCTTTTATTTACCTTTTTTTTTACCCCCCCCTTTTTATTTATTTTATTCTCCCTTACCTTTTTTTTTTTTTTTTTTTTCTTTTTTTTCTTTCTCCTTTTTTCATTTTTTTTTCCTTTTTTTTTATTTTTCTCTTTCCTTTTTTTTTCTTTTTTTTTTTTTTTTTTTTTTTTTTGTTAACCTTCCTGCCAAGGTGGTACCTATTGATCTACTCACATTTGCATGTTTTCAAACTGCTAGGTTGGCAGAAGCTGGGGTGAACAGTGGGAGCTCACCCCTCTCCCCGTATCTGAACCACTAATGACTGCATGGAGAGCCGTTACCTTCCTGCCAAGGCGGTACTTATTGATCTACTCACATTTGCATGCTTTTGAATTGCTAGGTTGGCAGAAGCTGGGGCTAATAGTGGGAGCTCACCCTGCTCCCCAATCTGAACTGCTAATGACTGCATGGAGAGCCGTTACCTTCCCACCAAGGCAGTACTTGTTGATCTACTCACATTTCCATGTTTTTGAACTGCTAGGCTGGCAGAAGCTGGGGCTAACAGTGGGAGCTCACCCAACTCCCTGGATTCGAACCAGTGACCTTTCAGTGAGCAAGTTCAGCAGCTCAGCGGTTTAACCCGCTGCATCACCAGAGGGCCCAGAGACCACCATACTCTGAGATATTTCTTATTATCAAGATACTTGGGTGGAATATCCTTTCCTGCAGTTTGAATTCCATCACCCTGCATCCTAGTTTCTGGAGCAGCAGAAGACAAGGTTGCCCCCTTCTCAATATGGCATCCCTCCAAATATTGAAACATGGCTATCACGTCGCCTATTTACTTTCTCTTCTTTAACCTCTCTAGGCTGCTTCTCAGAAGTCTTGGTTTCCAGACTTTTGACCATTTGGGTTCCCTTTCTCTGGACATGTTTCACCTGGTCAATATCCTTCTTGAACTGCAGTTCCTAGAACTGGACATGATATTCCAAGGTGTGGTCTGATCATTCAAAGCGGGATAGAGTAGGACTATGTTTTCCCTTGATTTGGGCACTAGACATAGTTTGAATATATGAAACAGAAGAAAAGGAGGAATCAGTGGTGGATGGGATAAGGAAAAACACTGGCACAAAGCTCTTAGCAATTACTTTCTTTTCTATGAGGATAGTTCTAATTGGATGAGAATGCATTTATTATTTATTTATTTACAGTATTTATATTCTGCTCTTCTCATTCCGAAGGGGACTCAGGGAGGATCACAGAATACATATCCAGCAAACATTCAATGCCATCATACACAGACAAGACAGAAAACTGTACATAGATAGAGGTATATATAGCCTTTCCCATCTTCAGCATCTTGGAGGCTTGAGCTCTGTTCCGGCCACCGGGGTGGGGAGGGGACGGTTGCTGTCACTCCATTTTCCCTGCTGAAGAGCTTCATTCGTGAACTTCCTCCTTTGATCAAATTGCTGGTATTTTTCTGGCATTTCCTTATGGGTGCCTTAAAGCAGTACCTATTCGTCTATTCACATTTGCTTTCAAACTGCTAGGTAGGCAGAAACTGGGCTAAAGTCAAGGAGAGCACCCACACCTGGGCCTTCAACTGTCAGCCTTTCAATTGGCAAGATTGACTACAGCTGGTGGTTAACCTGCCTTGCTAAAACCTGGCTCTTGCGTTGCTAAAGCCTGGCCCTACTACTACTACTACTGATAATGACAATGATAGATGGAGTGGAGAATAGAAGTAGTTTTGATTACAGTTGAAAGATCAGACTGCAAAAAAGAAGATGACATGTTTATCTCTTTCACACTGCAGCCACTAATATTACTCCCATCCCTATTTAACTGTTTCAGTTCAATAATGGCATTTATAACTTTGTAGGATATTTAGAACTAGCCATACCCTGCCACGCATTGCTGTGGCCCACATGGGGGTTCTGTGTGGGAGGTTTGGCCCAATTCTATCGTTGGTGGGGTTCAGAATGCTCTGTGATTGTAGGTGAACTATAAATCCCAGCAACTACAACTCCCAAATGTCAAGATTCTATTTTCCCCAAACGCCACCAGTGTTCACATTTGGGCATATTGAGTATTTGTGTAGAGTTTGGTCCAGATCCATCATTGTTTGAGTCCACAGTGCTCTCTGGATGTAGGTGAACTACAACTCCAAAACCAAAGGACACTGCCCACCAAACCCTTCCAGTATTTTCTGTTGGTCATGGGAGAACTGTGTGCCAAGTTTGGTTCAATTCCATCATTGGTGGGGTTCAGAATGCTCTTTGATTGTAGGTAAACTATAAATCCCAGAAACTACAACTCCCAAATGACAAAATCATTTTTTTGAGTGAAGGACATACATTGGGTTGTTAGGTGTCTTGTGTCCAAATTTGGTGTCAATTCCCCCAATGGTTTTTGAGTTCTGTGAATACCACAAACGAACATTACATTTTTATTTATATAGATTCTCAGCCAGAGAGTTATAGTTCCACCACAAGCCATAGGTGACAGGGACTTCTCTGTAGTGGCACCCTGTCTCTGAAACACCCTCTGAAGAGAGGTCTGGCTGTTTTGTGAACCCCTTGGCTTTTAAAATTACAGGTGTCTGTTCTGGCTATTTTTTTAAAAAAACTGAGTGTAGGATTATTTTTAGAGAGGAATTTTGTTTGTTTTCCATTGTCTTGTAGTGATTTGTTTAAAGTTTCTAAAGTGAGTTTATTAATGGTGCATAATAATAATAATAATAATAATAATAATAATAATAATAATAATTTTATTTCCTTAGAGGACCTGATGCTTTGAGAGGTGATAAATAGATGTACTATCAATATACTAAATATATCTCAGGATTCAATAGGATGCTTCCATGGTAGCTAAAGTGGCATCATAGTAGTGTGGAAAAGGCCCATTGTGATTATTGCCCAATTCGAGAGGAGATAACGTTGTTTATCAAAGTGATCTGACCTGCATGTAGCTTAGGCAGACTAACATTAAGTATCATGTTATATAATAACAGCTATTACAATTATATTGAGCAACAGGAAACTGCTCATAACTACATCAGACAATTTGTTCACCATTCGTGGTGTTTATTTTGAAGTCATATGCTATTTTTATTGGCATCCAAAGCTTTTCCAAGAAGGAGTTTCACAGAGGACAATGAAAACTGCACCAAGTTCCTTTGTGGAGATGGAGGCGGGGAACAAAAGTAAAGTTATTGTTGTTGTTGTTGTTATTATTTGAAACACAACAAGACAAGATCAGCAGACAAGATCACTCTGCTGGCTGTTGTATTGGATCACACGTCGGACACTTCCTTCCCAAGTGTCTAGGACTGTGTGATGTATTGGTGTATAATGAGTGCAGATCCCAGTAAGGTGGCCTTCTGCAACTGACAGATTGTGTTTAAGTGCAGGCCAAGTTCTTTAGGCACTACACCAGGTGTGCCGATCACCACTGGAACCACCTTGACTGGCTTGTGCCAGAGTCTTTGCAGTTCGATCTTTAAATCCTCATATTGTGCCAGCTTTTCCAGTTGTATTCTCTTCAATCCTGCTGTCACCTGGGATTGCAACATCCATGATCCATACTTTGTTTTTTAACACGATGAGGTCAGGAGTATTGTGCTCCAAAACTCTGTCTGTCTGAATTCGGAAGTCCCAGAGAAGTTTGATGTGTTCATTTTCTGTAACTTTTTCTGGCTTGTGATCCCACCAGGTCTTTGTCACAGGCAGATGGTATTTGTGGCACAAGTTCCAATGAATCATCTGAGCAACGGGTGTTATACCTCTGCTTGTAGTCTGTCTGCGCGATCTTCTTGCAGCAGCTGAGGATGTGATCTATTGCAAGGGTCCTCAAACTTTGTAAACAGAGGGCCAGGTCACAGTCCCTCAAACTGTTGGAGGGCCGGATTATAATTTGAAAAAAACATGAATGAATTCCTATGCACACTGCACATATGTTATTTGTAGTGCAAAAAACACTTTAAAACAATACAATAATTAAAGTGAAGAACAATTTTAACAAATATAAACTTATTAGTATTTCATTGGGAAGTGTGGGCCTGCTTTTGGCTGATGAGATAGGATTGTTGTTGTTGCTTTCAAGTCGTTTCAGACTTAGGTTGACCCTGAGCGAGGGCCGGGTAAATAACCTTGGAGGGCCGTATCCAGCCCCCGGGCCTTAGTTTGAGGACCCCTGATCTATTGTGTCATCTGCTTCCTTGCAGAG